TATATATATATATATATATATATATGCAAAAGCCTAAAGCCCAAAACCCTGGTCTCGAAATTTAGCCGCGGTCACGGCGGACGAAAAATTGGAATCGAAATCTTCCTCTTCCTTTCACTTTACCTCTTCCCTGCCGATTCTTCCATCTCTTTGATTTCTTTCCCCAAAAGGGTTAAATTACCATGAACAAAAATTAGCTCTTGAGCCAAGAAACAAAGGAACAGAGGAATAAATGGCGACGCCATGGAGGACGGCTCTGTGGGTGGCAAATATGGTGTGGCTGGCTCTCAGTGGATGGGTTTCTTCTTGGTTGACTGTCGCTGATGATGTCGCTAGCTCACTCCGAAATGGTGATATTGGACCCTTTCATGTTGGTTGATTAACTATCTTCCCTTCAATCGATCTCTCCTCTCCGGTTAGTTTCCTAACTAGTTTTGCTAATTTTCTTTATTGGGTCATGAAAATTTCTGATCGTTATTATTATTGAGTACCCCAATTCAGTTTCTTTCTATGTTTACACTTGCTCAGTTGATAGGTGCAGTCTCTTGTGTGGTAAAGCTGGCGCCTTTCGGGAATTTCTGTTGCCCTGTAGCTGGTGGCTGGTGCTGGGCTGTTTTTTTTTTTTTTTTAAATTGACGGTTCCTTGGAATTGGTTCTGATTTATCTGCATTTCCACAATATCTGATATTGTCCTCTAGTGGAACTATTTGATGTTCTTAATTAGTTTATCTTCTGTGGATTTGTTGATACTTGATAGGGATGGATTTGTGTCTAACAGGTGTTCCATTGGTTTTAATTTTCAATGCTTTGTTCATGTTGTTGTTAGAAAATTAACTTCTATGTTGTTATTTTTTTCCTTCCCTCCTTCTATTAATCCCTTTAGCTCTGTTGTATATCTAAATAATTTCATTAACATGGTGAATCATACATTTCCTTGGGATCTCTGGTGAGGTTTAATTTGTTTTAAGCACTTTAAAGTCGACCAAATTAAATTTATCTGTATAATTTGTGAGTGCAATTATAGCCTGCACACAATAGATAGTATGTTAGAGCTTAGATAACTTACAGAAAGATGTGTAATTTCTCATGGTTAATTTCAGGTGGATACTATAAGCGGAGAGTGAGAGATCAAAAGAGAGAGAGGAAATGTGACGGTGCTTTGAAAAGGAGAAAACGAATATTCAAGATGATGGTGTTCTCCCTAGCATCAAGCAGATTCACTCGTTCTGTTAAGATCATTATAGTGCCTATCTTAAGTCATGTCTATCCCAACGTTTCCAAAATATGCAGTTCTAAACTTCACTTTCACTTGCTAAATAATCAAGCTCCCAGCAAAACTCAAATACCAAGTATAGATTATAGTGGTAATCCAATTGTGGCACAATCCAATTGGTTGATCACCAAGCTAAGCAGAGAAGGCAAAATTAGTGAAGCACGCAAATTGTTCGATGAAATGCCTGAGAAAGATGTCATGACATGGACTACAATTATTTCTGGGTATATCAAAAGTGGATCGCTTGAGGAAGCAAGGATATTATTTGAAAGAGTTGATGCAAAGAAGAATGTGGTTACCTGGACTGCAATGGTTAGTGGGTATGTTAGAGTGAATCGAATTGTGGAGGCAGAGAGGTTGTTTAAGGATATGCCAGTCAAGAATGTGGTTTCTTGGAATACTATGATTGAGGGGTATGTGCGAAATGGACAGGTTGCCAAAGCACTTCAAATGTTTGAGAAAATGCCAGAGAGCAATGTGGTATCATGGAATCAGATGATAAATGCATTAGCTCGATGTGGGAGGATTGAGGAGGCAAGGGGGCTGTTTGAGAGGATGCCTAAAAGGGATGTTATTTCATGGACGTCAATGATTGCAGGGTTGGCCAAGAATGGAAGGATTGATGAGGCTAGGGAGATTTTTGATAGGATGCCTGAGAGGAATGTGGTCTCATGGAATGTGATGATAACTGGTTATTCAGAAAATATGAGGTTGGATGAGGCTTTTGAGCTGTTTGAGAGAATGCCTGAGAGGGATTTGCCATCATGGAATACAATGATCACAGGTCTTATCAATAATGGTGAGTTAAAGAAGGCTGAGATATTGTTTAATAATATGCCAAAGAGGAATGTTGTTTCTTGGACCACAATGATTACAGGATACATACGAGATGGGCAAAGTGAAGAGGCATTGAACCTTTTCTCAAAGATGTCTCATGAGGGGGTTAAGCCTAATGAGGGGACATTTGTTAGTGTCTTGAGTGCATGTAGTGACTTAGCCGGTCTTGGTGAGGGACAACAAATTCATCAGACAATATGCAAAACAACTTATCAGTGTAGTGAATTAGTTGTATCAGCACTTATTAATATGTATTCCAAATCCGGAGAGTTGGATGCCGCCAGAAGGATTTTTGATGATGGGTTAGGAAGTCAGAGGGATGTAGTTTCATGGAATGTTATAATTGCAGCTTATGCACATCATGGATGCGGTGGAGAGGCAATCAACTTGTTCAAACAAATGAGAGATTTAGGCTTTAAGCCTAATGATGTGACCTATGTGGGTTTGCTCTCTGCATGTAGCCATTCTGGAATGGTAGAAGAAGGGCTAAAATACTTTGATGAGCTTGTGAAAGACAAATCTATTCAGGTCAGAGAAGATCATTATGCTTGTTTTGTTGACCTATGTGGTCGAGCAGGGAGGCTCAATGAGGCTTTGCATTTTATTCAGCAGCTTGGGACTAAACCATCAGTACCCACCTGGGCAGCCCTTCTTGCCGGATGTCATGTTCATGGGAATTTGAAACTGGGGGAGCTGGCTGCCAAAAGGCTTTTAGAGCTAGAACCGGAGAACACAACTGCCCACTTGTTACTGTCTAACGTATATGCTTCGTGTGGAAAATGGAGAGAAGCTACCAAAATAAGGTTGAAAATGAAGGACACTGGATTGAAGAAGCAACCAGGTTGCAGCTGGATTGAAGTGGACAATAAGGTTCATGTGTTTTCAGTTGGTGGTAAATCTCAGAATCACACTAATCTTATTTATTCATTACTTTCTGATCTTCACGCAAAGATGAAGAAGTCTGAAGATAAAGCAAATAACGATTACATGGCGGAGGATGATATTATAAATTTCCAATCAGCTTATTACTTAATGGAACGATAAATTGATACGCACATCAATCATGATATTAGACCAGCAAAGACTAGGAGCATAAGATGGTCACCTTTTTTTGTGCTTCAACCTTAGGGCAGCACAAATGCTATGGGCAGTGCTGTTGTGTTAGAGCTCTCAGTTCATGCTGGGTTTACTCTGGAGTAAACTGGTTTCAATTAATCAAAGACGAATCCATGGGTAGCAGATGTATGTATTTCTGATTGTTGGGTATGATTTTACCAGGAACAGGATGGAGGACACATTTGCTTTGTCAGGTGGAGTTTTGTTGTTGGATGTTAAGGGAGATGGTCTGGACATTTTTCTTTGGTTACAAACCAGTATAAAACATTTTGGGATAAACTATCTCATGGAGATTATATCTCTCGGCTGAGGAAACTTGTAAGTACACAACCCCAACAGGCAAACTAATCGGTAGCTGGTTTCTTTAGACTGTACATTTTGGGATACTACAGAAAATTTTTGGCTTACATTCTGGATTTTCAATGATTTATTTTGAATATAAAATCAGAATTTCACAATTCCATATTTATCTGTGATGTGCGCCACCGTTCTGTCTACCTCTTTTAACTCCATTAATCCATTTAATATATGGGAAACATTGTTCATATACCCAGACTGTTTGCATGCCCCATGCAAGATTTAGGGGTTGGTGATAGACATGTCTCTAGTAAGATGAATAAACGTATATAATATTACAAGTAACTTCTGAGTTAAAAGAGTCATGCATTTAATGACATAATTATATCATTTTTTATAAGTCCTAAATATATTAGAGTTTTCTACCAAGAAGGTAAACTGGCTTAAGAGTTGCCTAACTTATTGTTCCATTTAATTTCACATTTTCTTTAAAATAAAAATGAAGTTGTTTGGTCAAAATCATGGCAAATTAATGCCAAGGGTCGAAAGTGTCCTTTTTAATTAACTTGAGAATAATCCTAGAGTGATCAATGTTGCCATCAACTATACTCAAACATTGTTTGCTTGTAAAGTTTTAAGGTAAATTTCCCACGGGAGGCACTTCGAAAAAAGATTTTATTGTAAAAGCGGTTTTCAAACCCTTTACTTTCATAATTTTCACTTACATTTTAAATTTTTTATAATTATTATACATGTCTATAATTTAGTAGATGCTCACTTTATCAAAGTTTATTTATTTATTTTTTTTTTTCATTTATAGTAACTTAGAGCTTTTGTACAATCTAACTTGCATTGGATTGTAAAAAAATAACCATTGATTATGGAGAATGATCTCACATTTAGGGGTTCCTCTCTTGATCAATTGTTAATCTTATGTAATATGGTAAAGTTGCAATAACATTTTGCAAGCACTTGTTTAAAAAATTTAGTTCAACAACTTATAAAGGTTGTGGTTTAGTTAATAAGGGAGTTTGTTCTGTATCTTGTTGATTAAATTTTGATTTTTTAAAAAAGTTAATAAAAAAGTAAATTCTTATGAAGTCTTTAGTTTAAAGCTGAATAGTATGTTTTTTATCAAATCAAGGATGGATTAGTATCAAGGTGACAACTACACAAAAAATAATATATAGTTCCACAAATTGTAAAATAAGTGATTATTGAGTTTGAGGAAAGTAAATATTTAAAGAAGACAAGATAAGATTATGAAGAGAGAAAAGAGGAAAAGTATGCTTCTACTCTTCTATTTCTTTCATTTTCAGTTTTAGTTACAGTTTCATATAATATCAACTTATATAGACTAAGGGATAATAAATATTATATAAACTTAGTGGATAAACTTGATTAGATTTATAAATGAAACATAATTAAAAAATTAAATTTTTACCAATTTCATGAATATAACGACTTATGAATGTGATAGTTCCATTAATGTGATTAATGGAACTCTAAATGAAGTCAAGTAATATGGAAGATGAGAGACCATAGATGAAATATATAAGACGAAACATCTATTCATCATAAAATCTATAATGACGCAATGGTAAAAAAAAAAAAAAATTTCAAGTCTAAATAAATATAGGTTAAGCCCCAATTTGGGTCCTTCAACTTTTGTATATTCCTTACGTTTAGTTTTTAAACTTAAACAATTTTTTCTTTGCTCCCTATAGTTTTAAATTAAAGTTTAGGTTTATATGACTCATTTATTGAAGATAGAAGCATGATGTGTCAAAAAATTTTTACTCAGTAAGAATGACAATGTGGCTAACTGCATGACCTTGCCAGAAAACATTGTTCATGTATTTCTCGCTCAAAGGTTGTCCAACATATCTCTGAGGCCACTAAATGCAACAAAAACAAAATTCTCCCCCATTTTTTCCATTTGAACCCTAGATGCACAACGTTCTTCCCCTTCAAAACCTACTAGCAGAAGAGTAGAAAAACGTGACAAAAAAAAAAAAAAATCAAAATTTAAAATTTTAGACTCTAAAATAAAAAATTTTAAGTTTAAAGACAAAATAAAGTATTTATATCGAAGTTGGGGACCCAAATTAGGGTTCAAGGCTTTATGCTATTAAATAATATATTGCATGTGCGAGCAGTTCCTGTCCTCTATATTTACGGCATGTTTGGTTCAGTTTATTGTGCTATAATTTTTTTGATATTATTTATATTTCATAAGTTTAAATTTCTTTCATAAAAACTTATATTTTATTTAAATTTTTTTAACTTTAAAAAGATCTTAAATAGTAAATTTTAAAAAATTTCAAATTTTTATTTTTTAAAAACTCATTTTTTACTTTTTCTAAAAGTAACTTAAAAATTTTTCTTTCAATAAAAATTTAAACTTCTCCAATAAAAATTTAAATTTATGAAATGTAAATTATGTCAAAAAAACTAAAATACTTACAAATTTCACCAAACATGCCCTAAACATAAATAGTCAGGTTGGATTTTTTATGGATTAGATAATATCCTATAGAATAAGTAATAGCCCTCTCCACTTAATCCTCGTTATTTGCCCCCAGTTTAACCTAACCTGTTTTAAGATTCAACAGTAATAGCCTCTTATTCTTTTAATTTTTCACTTGATTTAAGATTTAAATTTGAAATGCTTAAGACCTTAGTCTCTTCTTAATTGAATCAATGTTTAATACCTTAATCTCTATATTCGTTCCAAAATTAGTAATAAAAACAACTATTAAAAGGAATGGTTTATTTTAATTTATCAAAAATACCTATTAATTATAAATTTTCATTAAATAAATTAAATATTTTAAATTATAAATATTAATAATTATTAATAATTAAATATCAATTATTAACTATTAATAATTATTAACTATTAATTGTTAAAAAAATAAAAAACTCCCAAGAGCTTAGAAGTTTTGAACTCTTAACTAGGCGTCCCTTCTCAACTCTAGTCTAGTTTAGTAAGTTACTGTAAGTACTCACATATACAGACCAAAGTTCAATACTTCGGTCAAATTGAAACATCAAATAAACCGCTCTCGAAAATGGGGGAGGAGAATGGATTCGTCGGAGAAAGCTCCAACGGAGAAGCAGCTGGACTCGCCGGAGAAGCCTCCAACTCGCCGGCGTCGTCGATTTGCTTGTGCAGCTATGCCGATGAAGGTAGCGCGGAGTCTCAGAGATACTACCTGGCACGGAGAACTCTGTTGGAGATGTTGAGAGACAGAGGCTACGCTGTGCCCGCCTCCGAAATCAACCGCTCTCTTCAAGAGTTCCGAGCCACTCACGGCCAAGATCCTGATGTCGAACGTCTCAGAATCTCTGTCGTTCATAAATCCGATCTTTCTAAACGGGTATGTTTTCTTGGGTTTGCTTGCTTCTTCAGTTACTTATTTTGTCCTCTGTGTCCCCATTTGGTAGCTGAGAAAATTAAAAGGAAAATCAAGGAAAAAAGTTGTGGGATTTAGATTATGAAAGGGGTTTTGTTGGAATTTTTTAATTTTTGATTCTACGTGAAGGATCTTTGCCTACATTCTACTTTCCGTTGCATTACTTTGGTTGGATGTATATAAAACATTTTTTTTTTTATTTTGTTTCTTAAAGCCAGAAACTTTTTGCGTGCATATTGCAGGATTCTTAAAATAGATTCTCCCTTAAAGTTATTTTTGTTTCAGATTAATTGTTGTTATTTTCTTATTATTTTCTTCTGAGGAATGATGACTTATTGTTTTACATTGGACAGAGCAAATCAAAACTTTTGTTTATGATGGACGTTTCTTTCTTGTATAACAGATTCAGGTTGTTTTTGCTGGCTCACGCATAGTTAAAGTTAGTGGGATTCGCCTCATTGCTGCTTCACTTGCTAACCGAGAGAGTTTAACTGGACTTATACTAGTCCTGGAGAACCACATCACAAACCAAGCTTTGAATGCTTTGGACCTTTTCCAATTTAAAGTGGAGATGTTTCAGGTACAGTTTTTAACGTGAATAATCATTTCTACTTTCTTTTCTGACAATCTGAGCCTATAAATTGAGCCAGAAATTATTTTGGTTTTGACTGTCTGTCACTTTTTGTTATCATATTTGATTCAGTGATTTGGTTAACAAGCATTTCAATTTGAATATTTTCTTTCCTTCAAGTGGAAAATGGATATAAAACACTGTGCTTCTTGGTCACATTCAAAAAGTTCAAAATTCAAACCTATGATTATGAAACAGTCAGATCCTTGATTACTTCCTTTAATTGTTATTGTTTTGAGAATCATTGTGGCCCATTTTACATGGATGAGATTCAGTAACTCCTCAGTGTATCTATTTCTAAGTTGTTACAACATATGGGTAAAAGGAAGTTCTTAGAAAGTTATAAAATTGAGTTGGACTTTGTAAGTTAGCTAGTGACTACAACTAAAGTTTGTGTTCAGCCATGTTTCCCTGATTCTGGTATTGGTACGATGCTAGATGCCATTCCATGTTAGAAATGGATATGCTTTATTTTTAACCTCTTCCTTATAGTTTTAGGGTCATAATCATCTACAGCAACCTGTTTGAGTCTCATTATTGAGTATGTTAGGATAAAGTGAGGAACATATTGTGATATAATATGCTCAAGGTTCAGTGAGTTACTATGGTTTTACATGGTGATTTCACATGATCAAAAAAATAACAAGTTGAATTTATTGCTTTGGGAAGTGTTACCAGGCTTAAATGATCCAAAGAAGATCAGATTTCCACACTGGCCAAGTCAATCAAGTTTTTAAAGTTCCTGGGCATTGGGAATATGCTCACATGTATGCCCTATTTTTTCTTTGACTTATATAGCAAATAATTACATGCTTAGATATCATAAATCATGATATTTGTTTGACTAATGTCTTTTCATTCTGGTTTTATATGATCTAGCTAGATTGAAATTGAAAAAGATTTTATTCCTTGAATTCATTAGCTACAAGTACTGCTGATTTGTGGGGTTAGCACCAGGCATGATAAGTCAGTGAGCATGGTGTATCTTAGAATGTTGTATGGTGCCATGAATCATGTTGAATGGAGCAGGATATCATGCTTTGATTTATTTTCATACTTTACATTTTATTGGTTTTATAATAGCTATATTTTCATTTAGTAGTCAACGAGTATGCTTGTACAGACCTAAGAATTGCCTAGATATCTTTGCTCTTCTAGACTTTTTAGTGATTGTGTGAGAAATAGTTGTGTGTGTGTTTTAATAACATTTCAAGTGCATCTGCCTTAATACTCTTATTCTTAATTGCTCCCACTAAGATATAGAACTTATTTTGATGTACCGTCCAACATGAATTGCCAAGTACTAAAAATATCAAAGGAAAATGAAGGGAAAGTACTCTTCTAAGTACTTACTTGCAAGCTTTATTTTTCTATTATTAGAGTTAAAACTTCTTTCCTTTCCCTCCAGCATCTAGGTTACCTTGCTGAATAAATTATGAACATAGATGTATAGATGATTCTCATCCAGGCATAAAAAAATGGTTCATAATTTACCCTTTTTTTTTTTTTTTTTTTTTTTTTATCTTAGGATGTCTTGTCAAGTGGATTTGTTGTTCTAATGAAGAATTTATTTTTCAGTTGTGTCCGTTCTACATGTCAGATGTCTAAATCATTATTTCTTCCTTGATCTTATCTGAGTTGCTTGGTTGTCAGATAACTGACTTGCTTGTCAACATTACAAAGCATGTGCTAAAGCCAAAACACCACGTCTTGACAGAAGAAGAGAAGCAAAGCCTCTTGAAGAAGTATAGTATAGAGGAAAAGCAGGTTAGTCTTAATAGCAAAACACAGCAGTAAAGCATCTGGTGTTTTGTTATTTATATTTGCTTTGGTGCTTTACTTAATCACAAAAATCTCTAATTAACTGCACTAATCATTGGAATATTCATTTTCAACTCAGCTTCCTCGACTACTAAAGAAAGATGCAATTGCACGATATTATGGACTTGAAAGGGGCCAGGTGGTGAAAGTTTCCTACAGTGGTGATATCACTGGGTCATATGTCACTTACCGATGTGTTTGGTGATCCTTTGGTGCAGTTTTCTCCTTTATCTTGCTGAGAAAAGTTGTGTTGTTGTAGTTAGAGGTTTTTCCCCTCCCATCTTCAGGATTGCTTCATCAAACACTATCAAGTTGCTTGTAGTCTTACCTAAACTTTGTTATGTGCATCTTTTTGTGGCTTTGGCGTCTTTGCAGTCGATGGATTCGGACAGGAATATGTAGAAGACGCAATGCTGCAGCCATGGCTAAGCTTCCCAGGGAGCGATGATGGAAGAAAATTTGTATGGTCTAGAGTTCTCCAGGGGAGATGAGGAACCCTTTGAACAGCAACAAAAATAATGATGGTTCTTCATTTCCCACTTACATAAAAAGGCCATAATTTCTTCTTTGAGGTTTCGCAATAAGCTTTGGGAATTGCATTTTGTACTGGCCTTGGTCCTCTTTGCATAACTCTTAATATGACATTGTTTTCTCTTATGATTTTTATTTTTAGATAACATGAGTCTCCAAGCATTTACTAGATAACATGTAGCAAACGTTGTCTATTGAAACTGTTTGGCCTCATATGACGTTAAAGGGACTCAAACATGCATTTTCATCATGGTTTGAATGATATCTTAATTACTTTAACAAACTCTAATAAGTTAATTGAAGTTGGACCTAGTGGCTTGATGGCCAAGCTACTGAACCCAATCTCTAACTTCATATTGAGCTTGTTAAGTATATTGAACTCGAAAGAAATGTGATGCAGCCGGAAAAGATGTCCCTGATTTTGTACATACGCATCGAAGCGTCCCTTATCTCCACAATCAAGACACCGTTTCGCTGGCCGAGACTCACACTGCCAACGTAGTCGCCAATGATTTTTGTCAGAAGGCCGCTGAGCATCGATCTCGAGGTAGGGTTTTCTTTTTTATTTTTGGTTACCTGAAAATTCTTCTTTTTCCGTTTCCTCTGAACCTTGGTATGTTTTTTCGGTTGGATGATATTAGTAAGAAAGATGAAGGTGTATTGCAGTCGGGTCTTGCTACTTCAGACTAGTAGCCTTAATCATAATTTGTTTGTTAATTATTGACGTTATCTTCTGTATGTTATCTCCTGCCATAACAGAAGAATTTGTGGAGCCAATCGCATAGGGAAGCCACAAGTGAATTTCTTTCGTCTTTTCTTCTGAAATGATGCAGACAGTCTTTTGTTTGTATAACCACAAACTGTTTGCGCATGTTATTCAAGATTCCACCAATTAATTCAACATTCAAAACAACTATATACGGTAATTCCGCAATTGCAAGATAAACAATCATGATAGTTAAGACCAAAGTTTAGACCGAATTTATGGTAAAACCATTGATCATGGTGTGAGCCTAACGTTGACCCACATAATCAATGGTTAAAATAATTTTCGTCCTAAAGTTTGGTCCAAGAATCATTACTCAAGTATAAATATCAACCATAACTAATTTATAGTCACTCATTTGAAAAACATAGACACAAGAGTATTGCTTTCTAATTTCAAAACAGATACAGCAACACTTTCATAGGCCATATGTCAAAGCAGTAATGAAATATACACATTATTGGGTTGTCATTTCTTGCGAGACATTGCTGCAGCAATTCCACCAGCAATAAGTCCCACCGCAGCAGTAGTGATGCCAATTCCAATAACACCATCTGTATTCAAAATGCATATATAAATAATTCTTTCACCGCAATGCAGTAATGACATTAAAGTTTTGAAAGAAAAAATTCGGGCTATCACCTTTTGCAATTCGATCTTCAACTGTCTTCTTGAGGGTCTCAGCCTGCCTCCAATCAGGTTGAATCTATAACACAGGTTTTGGAAAATGAAAGAAATAATAGAAGTTAAATAAAATATGGTCAATTGGAGAATGGGTAAAATGGTTGTGTGGGTAGACAAACCAAAACAAAAGAACAAAAAACATTATTTCTATTTTGTGTCAAAAGTCAAGGGCCTCATAAACATGTGCTCCCTCTTCAACACTTCTCTTTAGCCAAGATGTTCAAAAATAAATAAATAAATAAAAGATTTAAATTTCCCCATGATAAACTAAATCATGAGTTCATTCATCATTGCCAAATATTGAAGTCATAAAAGGCCAGAATGATAATAATGGTAAAATATGTTATGCTATGACAAAATCAATCGCTAGAACCAAACTAGTAGCCAGAAGATTTAAATATATGTACACCATATAGACTTCCTTGAGGGGTGGAATGGGAAAGGAAAAGAGAGAGCACTACGGGTCATTTCTTCACCTTTTTGACAGCAGAGATGAATCCCTTTGTACAACATGAGATGAATAAATTATCTTATTTTTTGACTTTATGAAATCTAGCACAGGTGTAAGCTCCACAGAGAGTTTAAATGCACATTGTAGTATAAAGAGGTAAAGGCCTTCCATTAAAGGAAGAATTTCTAATTACTTCATACCAAGGCCTTTTGTTCTAATTCAGAGATAAAAATTTCCTTGGCAGTAAAAATCATCTAGTTTTTCACAAAGGGCAGAAAATTATGTTAGACTAAGAACAGAAGATTTGGCTTCTCCACCACAGTTAAACATTTCAGCAAATTACCAATTTAGATATAAGGTTCTATCCATAAACAAACGTTTACGAGACACCTTCTATTATGGGATGAGATAAATAGCTAGCTAATGATAAATATTGTATGTCTCCATTTATCCTTGTGCTGTCCTTCAGGTGAATTACAGCTTAAAACCTTTCCATCATACCAACACCTTTATCATTTTGGCCAGTATAGCAGAGTAGATGAGGAGTGAGTCACATAAGACCAAGATACATTTTTTAAGTTGAACTAGAGAAAAAAAAAAGAAGAAAGATTACAAAAATAAAATGAAAGGACAAACCTCCAAACATTGCCCCACAAGCTGCCGGCTCCTTAAGTAGTTACCACATCTGTAATATCCGACAGCTAGAAGATAAATTTTCTCTTTTTGCTGCAGAGGAGGGCTGCTATTGGCTAAGGATGCTGCAAAGACAATGCTACTAAGTTTAAGTCAGAGGTTGCAAATAATTCTGCAAATTAAATGCTAAGAATCATAAAACTTGGTATTAAAATAAAAACACATTTTCGAACATGAAAATGGCCAGCAAAGGAAATCAGCTAAGACTGCAAGCAGCTAGAAAATAAAGTGGCACTTGCTGAAGGAAGACCGGGCCACCTTTAACATCAGTAGTTGGAATCTTTATGCTATTGAAGACAAGATAGACTGAGCATCCATTGCGCAGATTACATATTAGGAGAAGATTCCAAACACAAATCTTCCAAGCTAGTTACTAAAACAAGATTATACTACAACCAATTGTTTTGAATAATCATAAAAAATAAGAATATGAATTTAGAATAATTATAGAAAAGCAAATGTAAATTTATATACAATTAACTATCAACTGTGGCCTCCAAGTGGTGTCTCAACTGGCAAGAGCTTGAGACTTCAAGGTGGAGGTATCAAGTTTGAACATTGAGACCGATAGTGGGGTTCGGGAAAAGGGAGGGTTATGCCTGTTGTATGACCCATCCACTAATCGTACCAAAAATAAACTATCAAATATCTCTCTACCCAGTGTAAGCTATAATCAAGAACAGCATTTGACAAGTGAATTAAAGAACTCCAAAAACCCTAACATAGGAAAGCAAAATCACTGCAAATGCAAATTGAAAGCTGACCTTCAAGCATGGCTATCCCACGCTGCACATCTTCAGCTTGCCTAGAGTGAACAAGAGCCCACGAAAGCCTCATTATGCTATCGTTCTTCTCCTCCTCCGACCCGACCTTAGCAGTTTCTGTAACTTCCCTCTCTAATCCCTGCACCCACCCCATCATCAGAACACAAACCAAATGATAAAGAAACACAACCCTTTAACAATCCGAAAACAGGATCGAAAACCCAAATCACAGAAATCACAAACATCAATCCCCTCAAAATCGAAATAATCAAGGACCCAATTGCTTATTAAGAACTGATTACGATTGGGAAGGAGCCAAATGAATACTTACAGCGATAATATCCCTGTCGCACCAGGGGATCTGATCACCGCCGCCGAAGAACGAGCCGACGGACTCAAAGAACTTGCCGATCTTCGCTTCCATTCCGATTACCCAACTAGTTGAATTGTCAAGTTTTGTCTGAAGAAAAGGGCTTAGATGGTGTTTTGTTGATTTTATTTAACAGGATTTCGTGGACTTAAATGTCAGGGAAGAGAGATGCGAGGGTAAACTGTAAATTACTCAAATCCGACACGAGGACTTAAGGATTAAGTAAGAAATTGACTTGGTTTATTTTTTTTTTTTCTTTTAAAAGGACTTTTATTTATGAGTTTTATGTTTATAATTGTAACCGTAATTTTAAAAATGTAATCATAACATTAAAATTATTAGATTAGTATTAATAAATAAAACGTTTTAAAGGTTTTTTTTGGTTATAAATTTATATTAAAAATAAAAATTAATTTTTAATTTACTAACTAATTAATTAAATTTATCAATTTAACAATAATATTAAATTAACTTCGATTGTAATATTTTTTTTATATACAATAAAAGGTTGCGGTGTCCTCTTAAAAGAGTTTTATTAAGATTATTTTAATAATTTTAGTATTTAAACGACATTTTTAATATCCATAATTAAATAAATATATATGAGTTTTATTAAGAATATTTTAATAATTTTAATATTCAGATTACATTTTAATATATAATCTAACTTAGAAATATTTTTTTGGTTGTTAGTATTTTAGTTTTTAGTTTTTATAATTTGTTACTATTTTAAAAATATAGAAAATATTAATCAAAACATTTATTAAATATATTTTATAACTTTTTAAGATGTTAAAAAATTAAAAAAATAACAATTATAACTACAAGTTGGCATTTCCAAACTAAATCTTTGTGTAATTTATTATATAACTATTATAATCACAATAGGCATATTAAATGAAAAAAAAATCATCATAACATTAAAATTATTAAAATATTTTATTATAATATAACTATTAAATATATGAAACATTGGGTGAGCCAAAAGTTTGCTAAACTAATTATGTGAATATTATTAAATATCTAGATATTTTTAATACCGAAACATCTTGATTTTCTTTTTTATCTATTAAATAAAACATATAAATTACACATGAATCCTTAAATAAAAATAGTAAATTATATAATTACAGAACATGTTACAAACAAAGAGACCCTTTCTTAGTAATTAGCATTCATATGACAAAACCACTTGATTGTGCATAAAGCATAGTAACTAAAAAATACAATTACGAACAAAATGCCTTCAGTGTCTTTATACCACAAGCTCCTAAAAGAATGATTGGATGTTCGAGTATGTCCATAACAAGGAAATGTTGAACTTGGATAGCTAGCAGCAAAGAAGATTGACCTGGGACTTGGGTGTATAACTTGGAAGATGCAAACATTTTCTTCTCTCCAGTGCCAGAATCTGCTCCAATGTTAAGTGATGATGCATAACAAGCAACCTGGGAATTGGATTTTAGGATAGAACATCCTCGTTCCAGCAATGCCTTCGCCCTTTGAAGAATAAATACTCTTTTCTTCGACCTGTCCATTGGAAAGGAAATTGTTTTTCCTTAATATTTTAAAAAGATTTCATTAGTATTCATATGCAAAAACAATATATCCCAGAATCAATGCACTAAACAGGTTAAAATATAAGTTTTTAGTTCAATCCTGAACTCACTTTCTTCTGTTGATTATTCTACATCCGCTTGAATGTGCACATCTCTAACAGCTGCGAGCTGAATTCCATGGTGTACCTCAATGACTCATGCTGTCATTTAAGAAATGAAAATAAACTGTCTGTTAGCCACAAGAATGCCATTTCCTATATGCATATAATCATCTCCTCACCAATAACTGCATGATCTATATAAGTAGTGTTCTGCAACATGATGAATGGCACATGCTTCTATGGTAAGCATGAACTTTTTTTTTTTTGGTTGGCTGTAGTAAGCATGATGATGGTTCTTATTTTTAGAAAACATGAATCTCACTTGTTTCTTTTTGACTTATCACAGACATATAATCCCTTCCCATGAAAATAGAATGTATTTAGAGACTAAACAGAAGTGACAATAAATAGTTAAAGATCTATACATAAGACTGGAAGTAAACTAGCTCAGAATTTTTTATTTCTTTTCCATTTTTACATCTCAAAACAGGAGAATACTAACCACAATAAAAAACAACATATAACAGAATGTCAAAAATAAATAAGGGGAACAGATTTGTTCAACAACCAATCAATAAAAAACCGTTCCATCATGAGCTAGAACAAACACCGGAATTAGGGTAAGGCACTGCACTATCATGTTAACTAAAGAACAAGGTACACTGGTTAACAAATATATTCTATCAAATTACAACCAGTTATGGATACTTTTCAAATTGCCTACTTAACAGTGTGGTTCATAATCAACTATTGGTCTGTTGTCTAGCACATCATATCAATTATCAAGAACGAAGAGCCATGTAATTGCCTTGCATCCTTTAAAGAAGCTTGCATATCAATATATGAATAGCTAGGAGAAGTACCTTCATAATAGATGCAATTAAGAGGGAATAAAATTCAACCTTTCTGACTCTGACACTTTCATTAATGAAGAAAGTGTGGTAAAGGAAGTGCCAGCAATGATGTGAAGAAATGTGATTGCCCCTTTCTGTTATTAATAACTAGGAAGCACATCAATATACTGAATTGCAGGCTGAGCATTTTCAGAAAAGAGTCTTTGATGAGAAATGCACCCCTGTATCATGGAAGTTTATGAAACGTGGAATCAATACAAAATAATGTCGAAACTGATAAGACTTTCCTGATGCTTAAAAAGACCAGAGTTTCGGTTTTGCAATAAAAAGTGCATGTCAGTTCAGGAAAACAATACCTTAATGAGTTGAAGCTATTGATCATGAGTTATTATTCTCTTGCTCTAACTGGTATGGCAAAGAAGTTCCACCTTAACATGTACACTTTGAGTAAGAATTGAGAGACTTGGACCAGCACTACAATTTGTTTGAAGAGGAACTTCTAAGATGCTTTCACCTACCAGCTTTGCATTCAACGTTTCTTTCATCACTCAAGCAATTCCATACCAAGGTATATGATTTTGTCCTTTCTAATCAAGAATCTGATTCATCAACATAAAATGAACTTCTCAAATCATGCTTCCACTTCGAAGCTTCTTTTTAAGTAGTTTTTTGTCTCTAACTCCATCATATAAGAGTTCATAAGCATAATAAGTGATATGACCTTTCTTCAACATATCCTCCACAACAATCTTTGGAGCAGCTACATCTCTTTTGTCTGCCTCAAAAATTGTGGCCACAACCTCAGGAACAATACCCTTGTGCACCATCAGGTGGATGAGACCAACTGCCTCATGAACTCTATGCTCCACACAAAGACAGTTCATTACCCGTCCAAATGTTATCAAAGAAGGGATGAAACCCTTCTCAACCTTTTCCAGCAGGAAATTATAACCAGAATCAACATTACCTGTTTTACAAAAGCCATCAATCATGACACGGTAAGTGTAACTGTCCAGCAGAAAACCATTTTCATCCATCTCATGGAAAAGTTTTTCAGCCATTTGGATGTTTAGCTTCTCAACAAAAGCATTAATCATGATATTATAGGTTGCTGTTGTGTGAGAAACATTGTATTTTTGTTCCATTCTCCTAAATAGCTGGTAGGCCCCCTCCAAGTCTCCATTCTTGCAAAAGCCATTAATCAGTGTGCCTAAACTTACAATATCTGGAGTAAGACCCTTGTCCTGTATTTCCTCAAGAAAGTTCAAGGCTTCATTTACTCTCCGAGCTTTGCAGAGGCTCTCAAAAAGTATATTATATGTAATTATGTTAGGGATACAACCCTTTTCTGTCATGACTTTAAATGTTTCCATCACATCTTCATACTTTGAGGTCTTGCAGAGGCCATTCAATACAGAGTTATATGTGGTCACATCAGGAGTAATATTGTAACTCCGCATTTGATTTAGAATCTCAATTGCGTTTTCCACTTTCAACTGTTTACAGAAACCATCAATCAATGAATTGAACGTAAAAATGTCAGGAAGGTACCCTTTTGCAATTCCATCATTTAGCAGATTATGAGCATCAGAGACACAACCCATCTTACATAATCCATTTATAACTATATTGTAAGTCCATATATCAGGGCTACAACCATTTTCTGACATCTCATTCATCAGCTGCAATGCTTGCAAAATGAGTCCCTGCTCAGACAACCCTTTGATAAGGGTGTTGCATAGATAGATATTAGGCTTCAATCCTCTTCCTAAAGCCTCATTGTATACAGCCATAGCACGATCTGTATCACCGTCCTGGCATAGTCCATTGATTAGAGAGCAAAAAGTGAATTCATCAGGAACAAAGCCCTTGAAAACTGCATCTTTGAGTACCTTATCTGCATTTTGCATCTCAGCCAATTTGCAGTATCCATTAATTATAGAATTGTAGGTAAAACCATCAGGCTCCAATCCTTCATTCACCATTTTATGCAGATAGCATTCAGCCTTTGCAACCTTGGAGTTCTTACACAAGCCACATATCAATGTGTTATATGTGACAACATCTGGTCTTAGACCTTCCCTAGTCACACTCTCTAATAAATTGACAGCATCACTAACCACACCTTTTCTACAAAGCCCTTGGATAATTATATTGTATGTATACAAATTTGGACAAACTCCCCTCTTAAAAACCTTGTTGAGAAGCTTCTCACTTTCTTGAACATCTCCCTTCCTACAAAGAATGTGCATAAGTTTATTAAATGAAGTAATGTTAGGACAAATCCCAAGTGTGAGCATCTCATCAAACAACTTGTATGCATTGACTTGCTGATTCTCTTCATAAAAACCACCAACCACAGTACAATAAGCAACTGCATTGACCTTGCATCCTTGAGAAGGCATGTTTCTAAGAAGCCTCAGAGCTGCATGAGGTCTCTTTGTCTTACAGAAAGACTTTATCCTAATTGTGAAAGTGTACACATCAGGAAGAATTCCTTTATCCATCATTGTCATATATGCTTTGTGGGCTTGACTGAAATACCCATATTCAACCAAAATATTCATGATTGCATTATAAGATAAAACTGTTGGCTCACAATTATAGAAATCCATCCTCTCAAACACATTAATGGCTTCTTGAACCCTCCCTTTCCGACCATAATTTCTCATGCACCCAACATAAACTCCTTCAAGCAAACTACTGTCTATATTTGACCTCATTTCAAATAGCAAGTTCTCCATGGCCTCAAATTCTCCATGGAAGCCAAGCTTGTCAATCATGCACTTATAAGTTAACAATGTGTGCTTAAAACCCTCTTCTTTCTTCACTGAATTGAACATTTCAAGCGCTCTCAGAGGATCCTTCTGGTATTTAACCACTGCAGCTACATGTCTAGGAAGTAACGCACGACTCATTCCAAAACTACAAATTTAACACCATAATAATACCAACGCATTAAAGCCCATTAATCCACTTCAGTTTCCAGCAGTTTCCTGCTTCTCTTTAGCTCTCCCTCAAGCTTCGAATATCCTAATACCACAAAAGAAGAACCTCATAAATGCAATCACTACTCAGCAATTAGAGAGCCCCCAAGATTAGATTAAGACTGGTGACCAAAAACAAGAACAAATTGGGGCGCGTAGGAAATTCTAGAACTTACCCAAGCATTACAGTCGCAGAGTGAAACAACCCCAAATCAATCCCCTTCCTACAACCATGGGCTCTTAATACGGCAACAATCTTCCCTCACTGTTTCATCGGACCCAGCATCAGACTTGAGCGAGGTTCGAGTTTTCAATCCAGACTTCGAGTTTCGATCAAGAAATGCTTGATTCTGGACGAGAGTTTTAGTTTCTGTCAATGGAGTTCCGGAATGATAGGGGATGACGGCAAAAGGGGTTAAAAGTCGTGAGGGTTTACGGATTTTGACCCGCGAAAAAATAAAAAATAAAAAATAAAAAGGGTGCAAATCAACCTTTCTAATAACGTTTGGGGGCTTACTATGTTAATTTTAGTTTAGGTATTTAGACATAAATTTAATGTGAGTAAATTCAAGGGCTTAACATTGAGTTTACTTTTGCCTTAATTCAAATACAAGTAAGGTTAAATGTTAATTTTAACTCCTTAATTTTACAGTTTTGCATGATTTTTGTCCCTCAAATATTTTTATGTACTTTTTTAATTGTTAACTCTAAAAACTACACAATTTTAATTTCTCTCATTAAGTTAGTTTAGTTCACGTGACATTTTCTTTATTTCTTTTAGTGATATGTTTATGACAAATCATACAATTAGTTTAAATAAACAATGCTTGACCATATTTAATTTGTCATTTTTTTAGATAGAAATTTAATTTGTCATTTAATTCTTTTCTAATCTTTTAACTTTAAAATTACTAAAATGCCCTTACTTTATTCTTCTTACCCTCATTTTCCTTTAGCCTTTCTCTTTGTGTTCTCCTCACCACTACCTATGTATATTCTTCATTGGAGATGTCCTCAACACTGAAATGATGCCATAAACCTAAATCTCATCCCTTTTCCTTCACCTTCTAATTCTTTAACAATGGTGCCAGCACAAAACTTGTTCATGTCCAAAGAAGAGTTCTTGCCCCTTTTGGTGATTGTCACAATCGCTAAGGTTTCTCTTTTCTTCTCCCTCTCTTCCCCCCTCCTTGACCATGACTAGGTTCATGAGGAACCTAACAAGGGGTTCGTCATGAACCTAGATGATCTAAGTTCCTCATGAACCTAGATTTGTGAGGAACCTAGCACTAGATTTGCATGAACTTAGGCAATTGCTATGGTTTTTCTTTCTTCCCACTCAACTCCACTCCACTCCACTCTTCCTTTTCTTCACCAAATTACATGTGAGATTTTATTCAATTTTTTTAGTTTGAATTAGAGTTAGGATTGCTATGGTTTTTGTTGTCAGATTTTAAAAAGAAAAATCAAAGAAAATCAAGAGAGTTGCAAGTTGAATGGCCAATATTAGAGAAGAACTTCTAAGAGAGAATCTAGGTTTTGGTTTTGTTGTTAGATTTGGGGTGAATGGCTAGTGTTGGAGAAGAGTTTCCAACTACTACATTTAACATCTTAATTTTTTTTAGAATGGGGGTGTTTTTCTCTCCCGTGTGAAGTGGGGTCATTAGCCATGTAACCTAAGTTTTAGTTTAAGTAAGCATCTTTTCTTGGTTGTATTATCCATGTCCTTAAAAGAAGTATGTAAAATGCCATGTGGATTGAGTTAACAAGCCTAACTAGTAGAGGGATCAAAATTATGCCTTTTTAGAGTGGAAGGATAAAAAAGTGCATAAAATAGTCAAAGAATTAAAATTGTACAAAACCCTAAAGTTGAGGTATCGAAATTGGCATTTAACTTACAAGCAAATAAAACATGTGTTTTTCAATTTAGCCTACATTGTGAGAGAAATACATGTTAACTCATGTATATTTGGCTAAATGTGCAAATCATGCTCTAATATTTTGGAGTTTAAAGCAAATTAACATCTAATAAAAAAAGTTAGAAGCAAATTGCAACTCCAAGATTTTATTTTGCTGAAGAAAAATTGACATAAATTTAACAATTGGCATCAACTCTTCGTTAATTTACACCTTTTGCATAACTATGTGTACTCAAATTTGAACCTCAATCCAAAATTAAGACTTCCCTTGTCTAAATAAGTATATTGCAATTTGCATGCACATTTCTGCACAAAATTTTTCCAATAAACAAATTTATTAATCCTTTGGATTACATTTTTTTAACGGTTAATTAAGCAAAATATTTAGAAAATGAACTCAAAAGAAAGAGAAAAATCCTCAACTTTATTGATTATGAGAAGTTATTTCAATAATAGACATGCGCAACTTCAGAATGTTAGCAATACAAACAGAAAGAAAATAAATGTCAAGAAACAAACAAGAAATGATTAATGCTGCAATTGAATCCAAATAGCCTGACTTGGAACACCTTGATGAACCACGTATAGGACGTAGAAACCAGACGGTGCCAACACAGGCGATGGTGGCACGGTCACCTCCACATCGTAAAAGCCATTCCCTACAACAACCATTCGATTGTTTCCAAGCAAAAAGCAGTCTCTGGTTTTGAGAGAATGAATGTGTCGTGAATGACGGTGCCACCAACATCACCACCACCTCGTCTTGAACTACTGGTCCTGTACAGCTGAAACGAACTGTTTGGTTTTGACCATAAATCAAAATTATTTGATTACCGGCGCAACTATAGTCGGACGGATATTGTCAAATTGAGCATTGAGGTAGTCCGGAAAAATGCTTCTATGCTTCACTCTGTCGGAAAAGTACCCCGGTAAAGTTGTAATAAGCGTGAGGATTGCTTCCTCCAACCAACACTCGCCCGTCATGGAGGAGCACCACCGTGGAGTGGTACATCCGAGGGATAGTAGTAGGGTTTTGTACCTCAAACCGTTACCGCACTAGGTTATCAGATCGGTAGATAACCGGACTCAATACTGGTTGCCGTCCTTGCTCCCATCCGGCAGAACCGGCGCCAGCACCATTGATGATCTAAACGTTACCATCAGGCAGCAACATCATGTCACCCATTACTCTACCTTGTAGCATTGTCTCCACGACCCATTGTGGGTTCGAGTCTGTTATCTTCATCCGACCATATGTGTTCAAGGCAGGCAAAAATTTTTTCTTCAATGACTGGGTATAAGATCCTTTAGACCCTCCGCCACAAATCAATAGTTCAGCTTCCGCATTCCCAGCTTTTATGTTCTTCAACGGAAGTAACACCAACAATCCGGAGCTAGGGTAGTTCCAGGCTTCGGCTTCTGGTATTACGGGATAAGTTTTCATGACTATGTTGTTCATATAATCTAGCAGGATTGCTCGATTGTTTGCAAAAATGAACAAATTCCCATCGACATTTAGATGCACAAAAGGGTACAGATTGTTCTCTACCCCACGATCGTTCGTTTCCGACATGAATGGCAAGTGCAACAAACCTGGCGCAGTTGCCTTAGGATAAAACTCGTAATTAAATTGTTTTCGACCACCGATAATAGTTTGTCTTCCATCTGGCAAAATATGATCGGAGGCGTAACATCTTGGTACCGCCAATCCATTTGGAACTTCCACCCAGTCACAGGCGCCATTGTTGCAGGGAGTGAAAAATCCTTATTCTCTTTGCACTGTCATTGAATCCTCCTGTTTGAATGAGACGACCGTCGGCTGTCACAGCACCAGAAGAACACCAAACGTCGGTCTGCACCATGAGTTCTCGGAGTGTATTGGACTGAACATCGTCCTCGACTGAATAAGCAGTGCAGTCCACTTTTAGGGTCTTGTCATTAGGATCATTCCAACATTGCCCGTTCGGAAGAGATAGATTAGACTGTCCAAAATCAGTTCTGTCGAACAAGGGCGCGGTCATTGTTAAGCAGTTGCATGTTCATTGCGGATACTCGGATGCTTTTTTGCAACAGTTTCCAGTTGCCACACGCAGCAGAGGTGAAGCAACATGACCGTGACGCGAAATAGAGAAGGAAGGAGAGGAGGAAAGACAGAATAAATGATGGAGACATGATTACGTAAAAATGTTGTTTCCTGATGAGGAATGGAGAATTGGATTGTGAAATTATGGAAGCTGTTCCTCAACGAAATACATCGGGTTTGATAGATCTTATAAGGGTGGAAGTGGAGACAGAGGAATTAAGAGGATGAATATTATATTAATGAACTCAAATTTCTGCCTGTAAGATTCCAGCCGTTGAAAGGGAAATTTTGTTTATTTATGAGTTGGGAGATTAGAAGCAAGATAAGGTCAATATCGTACTTTGCTAATTATTTTATTGTTTGTTGCAGATGTTTCTGTAGCAGTAAAGAAATGCTGAGATTGAATTTTGGTAATAATAATAATAATAGGGTAGTACATTAAGGATAATTCTTTTATATTATTTTTTATATAATTTTTATATATTATTAAATAAATAAATACATTTAATATTATGAATCTCATATAAATTAAAAAAATTAATCATTCAAATGACAAATCAAATTATATAAAAAAATAAAATAAAAAAATTATACGAAAATCATTTTTCATGATAATAATACCTTCTCTCCGTTTTATATCTGTCCAAAAATGTCTCGTTGCTTCTCCTACTAGGCTACTACGTTCTAGCATAAAACTTGCGAACCACAATGTTTTGATAATATATTGGAAGAAAAAAACAATTAAATCAAATGCAAATATACACTTGGCTTAATGGCTAGTGCCATTGAAAATGTGCATATTCTCTTTTCTTGGACAGGTTTTGAACCCGTCCCATAAAAAAAGGTTTCAAAAAAAAAAAAATCAAATGCAAATACAATGCACCTTTAATTCTTGAACAATTTTATTTTCTACCACTGAAGTTGCCATAATATATATATAATACATGAATTGTGCAGGAAAGTTCCCAATAGCGGCGAAGTCATAAAATTTTTCCAGGCTCATTTCTAGTTCTTTGCTATGGCACTCTTTATCATGTTTTAATTTAAGAGTCGCTTGGTGTGGCTAGAATTTTTAATAGAAGTCATGTTAGAGGAAATTTGTTATGCAAGTACTATTTTTAAGAAGTTAAAAATGTTTAGTAAAATTTTTTATAAAAATACTTGTAGGGTGAAAAGTTATTTGGTAAATTTTTTTATAAAAAATTTTTTAATATTGAAATGACTGAAATACGCATTGTTTATTTTTTTATCACTTTCACTTCATTTTTTTATGTTTTTATATGACTTAAAATTTATAATTAGTTTAAAGTTGATGATTAAAAATTAATTATTTAAATTTTAAAACATAAATGTTAGATAAATATTTATATTTTAATATTAAAAAATATTATTACATTTAAATAACGTAAATAAGACAATTAAAATTAAAACTTAAGTTAAATACTTTTTTTATCCTCTACTTTCTAAAAAGGTTCTTTTTTAATTCTTGTACTAACATTTTTTTTAATTCTTAAAGTTTAAAAATTTTAATTTCTTTTTAATATTTTTCGTTAAGTTTTAATGGAACATATTAATTAAGAAAAAAATTATATTTTTTTACTTAAATTACATGAAATATTTATATGATAAAAATTAATAATATGATTAAATTTTTTATTAATATAACCTTAACATCATTTAATTATATAATTATTAATATAAATATTATAAAGTTTATTATTCTCTCATTCCTCTGCTGTTTTTTTTTTTTCTTTTCTTTTCTTTTTTTACCTTTGGGTTCGTGCAAACCCAGGTTCGTCACAGAACTCAGGGGAAAGGTTTGCGATGAACCCTGCACCTGGTTCGTCTTGAACCAAGCTCTTGGGTTTATCTCAGAACCTAGGCGTTGGGTTCATCTCAGAACCCAAGTGCGGGCTTCGCCGCGAACCCAGCTCCTAGGGTCATCTTTGAACGGAAGATGAGGGGATTTTTGGTTTAGGGGGAAAGAAGAAGAGGAAGAATACGGTAAGTATTTTTGGTTTCTTTCTTTGATTGGATGAGGAATAAGATAGTTAAGAAGATAGTTAAGTGTTTTTGGTTTGTTTCTCTGATTGGATGAGTATTTTTGATTTGTTTCTCTGATTGGATGAGGAAGAAGAAACAAATGTGCCTAGGCTGCTTGGTGTGATGTTATAAATTGGACCCTTATATACTAGTTTTTTCGTAAATAAAAGGAAGTGTGAGGATAAAATGGAAAAACCATGTCAATTTCATTAAACATGAAGCGAGAAGCTCCCGCGGAAGCACGAAATTGGTGCTTCCTAGATTTGCAAAGGAACGGGGGAAGATGTGCTTCTAGGAAGCTGCTGTAGGATTGAGAAGCTACTGTAGGATTGAGAAGCTACCCCGTTTGATGCAGCTTGTTGCTTTTAGAGCCAAAAAACTCTTTTCACAATCTGCACCAAACAGGCTCTAAATCGACATTCTTCCATTTCCTTTCTTGTAGATTAAAGTTGACCTGAACTTTGGCCTTAAATCAATCGATTTCATGAGCTGTGAGATTGATCCTACTTATAGTTGAGTCAATGACTAAAGTGATTTAATAATATTTTTTTAATGAAAGAAAAATTTTAAATTTAATTCAAATTGCATATAGGTGAGATAAATAAAAGAATGAGAAAGTGTTGTTTGTAATTGTGCAACTCAAAATAAATAATAAAAAAAAATGTTTTTATCTAATAACATAAGGTGGAGAACAAAATCAAAATACGATTTTGCAAACATTCTATGCATTGAATGTATTTTACGTTGACTTTGTTTATAAAGAATTTATATATTCTACACTGCCATCTTTTTTTTTTTTTTTTGATAAGGGCAATGGTTAGTAGGTTAGTATTGTTAGATGTTAACAACTGAGGATTCGATCTCCAGATCTGGTGAACAGTCCACCTGTCTCAATGAAGCACACGGTCATCGGGCCGCTTGGTGGAGTTCCTACATTGCCATCTCTGGTTGATCATTCTGTCCAGTGGACGGTTGAAATTTTTGTCAACTTTTGTTTTTAATATTTGGGTTGCAAAAATCCTTTTCTATCGTAAATTTAACCAACTTCATCCACATGTTATATTATTAGAATTTAAAATCTTTTACTTCACTTAAAAGAAAAACTGTTATTGAATTGTTTAAGTTATTTACACGATTTTAAGAAGTTACTCAAGTTTATGTAAAATGATATACTTAAGTTATTAATGATGATTAGTCTTACAATCACTCATTTTGAAATGTGAGATTCAAAATAGCACAAATACTACAACAAGGTATTCCTTAGGAATGTTTCCGTTTTCGTATTGGTATTAGCTAGTTTGTTTGGTATATTCAACTTAGCAGGTAATCGTATATCATACACAGAAAATGAACCAAATGATACCAAAAATAAAAAATAAAAAATCTTCAAGAAATTAAGTTCTGAGTTTGATATCAGCTAACCAACTGGTGCTGATGATTGCTTGTCAAAAAAAAAAAAAAAA